CATAGTCGTTCTCCATGTAGATCATTCTTCTCTTTGTTGGATACTATCCAATGTCTTACTCCGAAAGACCTGTTGGACTAGTTATTTTCTATTTAATGCAGTGTTTCCTCGCGATTTTTTAGAGACTTGTAAAGTTATCTCTCTGATGAAAGTAAAGCGAGAAAGAATTTATATACGTGCGATTAAATCATTTGGTTCATTCCATTATATTATTTGAATCATAGATGCGATATTGCAACACATTTAATAGTTAAATAACATTTTTATTATCATATAAAGAAATAATTATTATAGAATGCGTTTCAAAATTACATATCAGAATTGATTAGATCATTTCATTTGTTACATTGTCTTGTATCGAAGTTTTGCGTATTTTTTTGCATGTTGCACATTTTTTGTATTTTGTAAAATGTATAAGTTACATATATATAGTTAATAATTGACATTCTCTTTTATTGAAAGATATTTATAATAAATTTATAACTTTTTGGTATTTACGATTGCTTGTGTAAATTAAAAAAAAAGTAAAATAAATTTTGCAGTTGTGATAATTAATAATAAATGCTAGTAATAATCATTTGTCGATTGGACGTATTATAGCCACATATTTCACATTGCGATCATAAGAATTTTGTGTTATTATATGCATATCGAATGTTTTCTCTATAATTTCCTGTTAAAAAGAAATTTTACGCGTATACATATTGTACATTATATAATATTTTCAATTTTATAATGTAATTTTTTTATAATATAAATATTATATGTATAATGTAAAGTAAATTGTATAAAAAAATAATGTAAATAATAAAAATGTAAAGAATATTATAAAATGAGATAATTTTAGTAATTCTCTATTTTGTAATTCTTACAATTAACGACAGTAACTGTAAATATCGTTATATATTGTTATCGAGCAGATTTCATACTTGAAAAAATTACGCATTAAGAGTTGTCATTAAGAGTTACAGAATAAAAGCCTTTGTCCCAGAAACTTTGACACAAATTATAAAAATATATATACAACACATATGTCCAAAATAAGATTCTTAAAACTTCTTTGAGACAATAATTCGATCAATTCTTTATAAGATTACGTTTTTAAGATGTTATAAGTCCAGATTTTGCATACTGCATTGTCAAAATTTGGGCTAAATTTATTTTGGTTTTGGACGAAAATGATCTCATTTTATGGTATTATAAAGGAGAGAAAGAAAAAGAACTGCCGATCGGATGGCAGGGGATGTGGTAGAGGGCCTCTATAAATTAAATTAACTTGTTTTTATCAAATTATATGAAAAACGTATATGTATAATTCGGATATAATATATTTTATAATTTTTTTGTATGTTGATTTAAAAGTTAAAGAAAAAAAAAATGGAAAAATGAAATAATAAGTTGTTTGTCGCACTTTGACATTAAAGTGATGTCTTCAATATTGTTTTGATATCAAAATTACGACAAATAATGTAAACTTACTGAAGTAAAAAAAAAGAGGACCGTCTATTATAATTGACGGGGGTGGTGGAGGGCCTCTACAAGTTAAATTGTATTTGCCACATAATCTGAAAAATGTATATAAAAGCTCGGGAAAAAATATTTTATATATAATTATATAAAATTATCTCATTTTATGATATTGTAAAAGAAAAAGGACTGCTGATTAGATGGCAAGGGATGTGATAGAGGGCCTCTATAAATTAATTTGTTTTTACCAAATTATATGAAAAACGTAATTCAAGTGTAATATATTTTATGACTTTTTTGTATGTTAGTTTAAAAATTAAAGAAAAAAAAGAAAATGGAAGAACTGAAGTAATAAGCTGACGTTATTTGTCGTTATTTGATGTTAAAATGTCTTCAATATTGTTTTGATATCAAAATGGACATATTTTATATACAATTGTATATAATTATATAGAATTATACATAATTCAGTATCATTTTTAGATATTTATAAAACTCATCTAAAAAATATGTTAAATAACAAGTCTGTACTTTTTTTAAGTTGTTATCAAAATTGGTTTTTTTTTAGAGATCATGTAAATCGCGTTATCATTATATTTTATCATTATATATCGCGTTATTATTTTATCGCCAGTGGCTACTAATCAGTTCAAAATTTATACCTCAGCTACACTCGCATCACAACATCAGAAACTGAAAGAATCTTGAAAGAGATCATTTCAGCGTCGAAATTGCTGGTACATTACCGCCAATATATCCATTTTTAAATTGAGTATTACGTAGCTACTTCCATTTCCGACACTGTCGATAAAATTATAGCAGAGAGAACGAAGGATGTGCGAGTCAGACTACAGGTACTCCAAAAATTATGAAGAATGTTGAATTTGCATATACATAATATATAAATGTAAAAATGTATGTATAAATATATATATATATATATATATATATATATATAAATGTCAATCTTAATCAATTATATTGTAGGTTGTAACAAAAGAAAAATTATGTAACGTAATTATATATATACAGATCTAAAAAACTTTTCAAATATAAAGTTTAACGAGAACTTTAATATGATAAGTATCTTAGAGATATTGACTTAAGAGATATTGACCAATTCATTGCGAGCAAGTCATTGTAACAATACTTGCATGTTAGCAATGCTTTTACAAACATTGTTTTATCCATATAATTATGATCTATTAAATTACAGAAATTTGTATGTCATTAAAATTCTTGGTCCAAGTTTTTCTAATTTCAAAATATTATTGTAAAGGAGATAATTAGGTAGAGAATAAGAGAGAGAGAGATCAATACATTCGATTAAATAATGATACTCAATTGAGTAAATAAAATATACTATTCGATTTTATGCTATACATTTCCTAGTGTTTATATTTGTATCGTATGGTATCCTCATCGAAATATGTGTTATAATTTCTCCATTTTTCTATAGCCATAACCTGTTTTGGAATTCTGTCTGGTAACAAGCCTAAAAAAAATAAGCGAGACGAGCATTATTTCTAGAAATGTAAATGTCTTCAACTCTACATTACTCCCGTAATTAGTGTAATTACTCATGTAAGGTATTCCTGTAAGACATCCCAACATTATATCTCAATTTTCATTATTCTTTTATGATGAAATATAGATTGATAATATTCTAAATGCTTTAAATAGAATAGAACTTCATTACACTTCAGTATATCTAAGTGCTTTAGCTAAATAATACAAAAATTTTTGCATTATAAAACAATTTGTGCCAAATATGTGTATAAACATACATGTATTTAACAAATTTATAAAATTGGAATGTCTTGGATTCCTTATAAATAATGAAGAGTTAATAATAGGTTTGTTCTTTTCAGTTGAATTTTTGGCACAGTTCATCTTTTTTCTTTCTATGTTGAAGAGAAAAAAAAAAGTGAGAGATGAACAGTGCAAAATCTCAGCTAAAAAGGACAAGCTTAAAACATTTTTCGATGAATTTAGATTAACATATATAAATATATATACATATATATTAACGAACCTGCTCTTTTGGCCATAGTCACCAAAATGGTAACTTTATTCTGCTGCATCATACACAGACCAGTTACTCTACGTGGCAGCATGGTTCCATTTTTTCGTAAGAATTGATTTAGAATAAGAACATCCTGTAAAATGTATAGAAAACCTCAGATTTACTGACTAATATAAATTATTTATATAATATATAGAATTATATATATAATATATAGAACATGGGTACACAAAATATTGTACTATTTATATACCAAAGCCTGAAAATTTGATTACCAAAGCTTGAAAACAAAACAATTGAATTTTAAATTAGATACAATACAAGATAATTAAATTATATGACATTTCATAGATTATCCTATAAAATACTTACAGTATGTTTAACATCAAGTCCCGTAGCGCAAAGGGGACACGCATTAGACTTCGATTTTAATAATAAATGCTCATTCTTATGTGGCACTCTTATAGCTTCGATAGTTAAGACATTATCTTCTTTCTTCTGAATTACTACGGTAAGAAATTAAATGTGAGTAAGCTATTGAGTTCGGGAGCTATTGAGACAAGGTTACGTACAGGTTAGTACAGGTACGCAATAAAGATCGTAATAAAATTATGTGCTCCGCTCTGTTAAGCGTGTTTAACAGCGAACTCACTCTGTTTTAAATGTGTGGTTGCGGATAGTGATATGCTTCTATTAGATTCCGAGAAAATCAGACTTTTACCAAATTGTTTTACAGACCGAAACAGAGTTGCCATTTTCGGCCCAGTGATCCTTGATGTTTTGTTCGTACATTCAGCATTTGTAGCTGTCGGTAACAAAAGAATTAAACAGATTTGTACCTTATCGAAAATATGAATTTTGTGGAAAATTTATAGTTCATTTTGTGCATATAGAGAATTTTATAAAATTCTAGCAGGCTTTTTTACATTTTAAATTTACATTTTTTATTTTAATTTTTAAAATTTCATATATTTAGTCGATAATATCATTATTATCGACTAAACAAATTTGGAAATTTTAAATAATTTTATAATGTTAATTTTCGTATTTTTATATAATACCTTTGTATCAATAATAAATATTTTATAACTTTAATATTTTATTAAATTTATTAAACATTGAACTATATTTGTTTTTTTTTTGTATTTGCTCTGTAGATACATTATTCTTACATTTTTTGCACACTTTGAACGAGATAGAAAAATTGAAGAGAAATATGGAAAAGACGAAAAAATTCAACTATAAAGAACAAGCTTTACTATATATACGCAGGATGTATTTGTGTAATTGTTTTACTGCATGAAGTTGCACCTAATGCGTATTTTTTCTAAATATAAAACCGAAAGCTTCGATGCTTTTTAATATTAAAATTAGAAAGAGAAAAAGAAAGTAATTTCCTATAAAAAAAAACTTAAAATCCAATAATCATAATATACGAATATCTAGAGGCACGATACGTTCGATCACCAGAAGCCAACTTCAAGTGGGACTGACGCCGCGTGACGTCACGTGCGGAGCTAGTCACACTTCACTTCGTTCCCGTTCCGTTCCCCGCGTCCCGCTGTCGTCGTCGTCGTCGTCGTCGCGCGGCCGTAGCGCTCTCGCGGCAGTCGCGGTCGTCTGCGATGAGTTTAGTTTTGAAAACAAAGGGCCGCACGCCGTATATCGTGGTGCGTCGTCACACGGCTTGCGCTTAAAGAAAAGCGGAAGCGCCGCCGCGCGAGTGCGGCGCAAGACGGCGGACGAGGATTAAAACGCCGTGCGTTGTGGGACAAGTCGTACTACGATTTCAACGGTCCTTCCGTCCCTCATTCGTTTCAGCTGTTTATTCGTACGTCCGTCCGTCATTCTCATTCTCTCCTATGTGCTTCTACCTATAAAGATATTTATCCTGTTTATCTCTTTTCTCTCTCTATCTCTCTCTCCCGGCCGTTCTCGAAACTCCCTGTGACACTCTCCCTTCGTGTTATCCCTTCGTGTTGAAAACGTAATCAACACAAAAAAATGGACGCACTTCGGGAGCAGGTGATGATCAATCAGTTTGTGTTGGCCGCGGGCTGTGCCAGGGAGCAGGCGAAGCAATTGCTGCAGGCAGCACATTGGCAGTTTGAGGTGAGGAAAAAATTACAAGATGAACCATTTGGACTGAGAATGTAATGAAGGGGAGGGGAAAGGGGAGAGGGCGGGGAAAGGAAATGAGCCCCGAGAATATGTCCCTCCTTCCCCGCTCTGTGACGTGGTGTATATCGCACACGCACGTATTACGCTCGTAAGTACGCGAGACAGTATATCCTCGTCTCGCGGACACTGCTACGTAAACAAAGCGACGAAAATGGCCGCCATCGCCGCCGCTTTAACGCCGCGTGATCCCTACAACAAGGAACGCGCCGATCCGCGAATCGACGTTCGTTCTTCATCGGGGCCGTCGACGAAAGCGCGAAGGCCACGCCGCTGTCTCGTCCGCTTCATTCATAAAAATTGCGCGAGCCGATATGCCTGCTAATGCGGCACAACACTCGCAACACGCAGCCCGATGTTAGATCCGCAGGAATAATAAGAAAAACGTAAATGTCATAGATTTGGCTTTTATTCTTGCACCAGGTAATGTCCGCTTTCTACCTCTGCAGATTAACTTTAATCTCTAGTTATCTTACGTTTTGTTTCTTTTTAGTATTCTAAGAATTAAAAGAGGATGAAGAGTAAATTAAATTAAATCTACATTGATAGAAGTGCTAGGTTCTACTAATGTGAGATTAACTTTAATCTTGATTTAACTTACTATTTGTCTTTTTCTAGCTCTTTAAATAATTCATAGAATTAGAAAAAGATAAATAATAAGTTAATTAATATTACATTGGAAGTAGACGGCTGTACTAGAACTTGGAAGGTTTCTCTGTTCTTGGTCTTTTGATTTATCTTTTGTCTTTTTTTTTCATACTGGAGAGAAAAGGAGAAAGGATGAACTCTGCAAGAAGTTGAGCTAAAAAACCTTTCCTAGCTCTCATTAAATTGCAAAGTGAAGCCTGAGACAATTAAAAAGTCCACGCAATATAGGAACAGGAAATAACAGATTCAATCTATTTAGAATTATATTCTGGTCTACATGTTTCCTGATAGAAATTTGTTATTCCCTGTTGTCTGTACCTTTCAATTGTGCCTGAGGCTTCACTTTCAGTATAGAATATGAGTTCATCTATAAAAAAACAGACATGCTTTTGTTAGTCTCGCGCTCGTCGTAAATGTGCAACATCGTGGAATAGCAACCGTAAATAATAGGATCTGCAGAAGCGGTCTTGCCGATGCTGACGAGAATGTTGCGGCACTCCGCACGTTGTATCGCTTTCATTTCACTTTCGCATCCGGCTTGCGCACAGTTGTTGTACAACCTGCGTTTGTTTTCATTTTGCAGATCTGTGTGACAATCGTCATCGTTGCGCAACAGGATTTTGTCGCCGCTATTGATTCATCAACAATCCTTTCTCCATGTAGGGTGTCGTATCGATTGCAGCGCTATATTATGCCATGATTAGATCATAAATTGTTGTGAAAGTATTGTGCAATATTATTGTTCTAAAGTCGCACATTCCGAGAGCGATTACGGCACTCTTTGGATTACGTCATTTTTCGCGCACGACATACGCAAGATCTTATCCCAATTGACGGACATAGGATGACGGGAAAAGGATCGATAATTGCTATTTGCGGCAAGTCACGTGGTATACCGGTGTTTACACTCGCCTTCTGCAATCCTGTCGAACTGAAATTACACAATCCTGTGCGTTAAAAGCAGGAACTGGAATAGACTATAAATTTTCGGCGAATTCAGGGGCCCGATGCCCGGCGGGCACGCAAACGTGACTCATCTACGTAATTTTCCGCAGACGTCACATCGTCGTTGACATAAAATCCCATTTCTCCATGTCTATATAGAGAAAAGGTTTCTTTAAATTAAATAAATTTATGCATTGGAATAATCCAACTAAATGGATGTTTAAATTAAGAATGTGATTACTTTCAGTAAAACTAAATTTTTTTGGCTAAACAAAATATGCTTCATTTAAAATTAAATTTATTTCAATGAAACGAATGTAAATAGAATTCTTTGAGTTCAGACAAATCTTTTTCTCTATGCGTATACACACGCCGCGCGCGCGCGCGCACACGCACACACACACACACACACACACACACACACACACACACATACATACATACACACACATACATACATACATACATACATACATACATACATACATACATACATACATACATACATACATACATACATACATACATACATACATACATACATACATACATACATACATACATACATACATACATACATACATACATACATACATACATACATACATACATACATACATACATACATACATACATACATACATACATACATACATACATACATACATACATACATACATACATACATACATACATACATATATATATAGAAATAGGAAAATTTGTATTAAAAACATTTCACGTATTCCAAAAAAACCACTTAAATTTTTATTTAATTTAATACAAGAAAAATATTAAAAAGTAAAATGAATGTTACATAGTAATTAAAAAGTAACATAAATTTATATTTAAAAAAATGTATAGTAAAAAATAACATAAATTACATAAAAAAATTAAAACAAAAAATGTAAACACTGACACAATTTATAAGTAGACTATGCAAGCGTATTTTTAAAGTAAAATTAATATATGTAAAATTAATACATATTTTATTCATTCATCTCAGAATGTTTTTTAAAAGGTAAATTATATTGTATAAGATAAGAATGGATATAATATGTAAATTCTTAGAATGAATAAAATGTGTTAATTTAACATATAAATGTTAAATTTATTGAAATATATTAATTTAATATTATAAATGCTAATTTTAATGAAGAAATATTACTTACAAATTGTGTTAATGTTATGTTTTTTGTTAATTTTTTACATAATATCTATTCAACATCCAATATTCACTTTGTATTAAATTAACATTTAAATTTGTAATTCACGTAAAATTTAAGTGAATTGTTAGAGATACGTAAAATGTGTTAAATTTAATATAAATTTTCCGATTATGTATGTACGTAATATTCTTTTCCTTAGCAATAAATCCGTTAGAAAAAGATTGATTGTTTATTGCTGAAAAGGAAACCTTTCGCTAATTTCGATTTGTGATAGGACTGCTAAAAATAGACATGAATTCTTGTTAGATGTGCTTTCATATGCATTTAGGAATTGAAATAATTTTTCGAAACTATCTGATTTCGATGGAATGTTATCGTGTAATGTATAAAAAAACGTTTTAAACAAAAGATTTTAAACAAAGTGCAGCATTTTATCTCTTCGTAATTGGATATTTCATATTTAGATTTTTCAAAAATGTTATATTTTGTCAATCTCATCTTCATTTTCAGGTAATTATATAATATATTAGGATAAAAATGAGTCATTACAAAATCAATTATATAATAAAAATGTTTATATATTACTGAGAAAGAAGAATGAATAAATGAGAAATTTTTTAGAAGAATAGATATGCTATAATTAATCGCTTGCATTATTTACTCATCAGAGTAAATAATGCAAGAGATTTCAGGATAAACCATGTAATCCTTATGCGCTTGCATCACGTAATTCATTTTTAAACACACGTCGATAGAATAAAAAAAGGAAGGAGGAAAAGAGAAAGAGAACGAAAAGGAGGGAGAAAGATTATATTGCGACACGCGCTAGCGTGCTAATGCATCATTGTGATTAGAGTTAGCTCGAGGAATCTTTCTGTGTCTTTGACCACAACGTAAACAATGTGGCAATATGTATTTATATACGCCTCATCTCGTCTCGTCTCGTCTTGGCACATACATCAATTCGGTGCAATGTACATGGTGTCCCATTATTATATCGCATTCAATCTTAATCGTTGAAAGGAAAGATTAGCTTATCAGAATCTGTCGTTTTCTAATTCTGTAAAATTACTATCATGAAATGTTGGTGAGTTTTATTAGCTTTATTGAGTCTGAGCATTAAAGTACACGATTTTGCTGAAGTATCTACAAATTTAGCTAGATACAAATTGAAAGTAACTTTAGATCAAAATAATTACGAATCTCAACCATGAATAATACCGCAAAAATTTTAACATTTTAATTTTTTGTGTTAATTTAATTAACACAAATATGTTAGAAAGTAGCATATAATATTATGTAAAAAATTAACATGAAAAACATAATGTTGACACAATTCGTAAACAATCATCTTTATTATAATTAACATTTACAATATATTAAATTAACATGCTTTAATAAATTGTCAATGATGAAAAACGTAATGTTGACACAATTCATAAACAATAATTTTTATTATAATTAACATTTACAATATATTAAATTAACATGCTTTAATAAATTTAACATTTATAATGTGAAAATAATTTTATTTATTTATCTGAGAATTTACGTTATAAAAAACATTATTTTATGTAATTTGTTCACTCAAACTTAAATAGTTATTATTATAATTTGTTTACTCAAAAATAGTTATTATTGTTAGAAATGTTAAATATTAATTTAATACAAAATATTCAAATAATTACATTCTGTTAAGTTAACTCTCGGATATATTAAAAATTCAACACAAAATTACAATATAGACTTCAGTGGACCGCTTCTAACACAAATACGAAATACTTTTTACTATATACTTCAGCATAACCACCTTTTCCACGGACTGGAAGAATATTTGTTTGATATTTCTTGTTTTTATAATAATGTTGTGATATAAACTTGTTAGCAATTATATTGATTTCAGTCCATGCAACGACAGGCGTAAAACGGTCGCAAGGTATAGATAGTATAGATAATAACGCGAATGTATAGTGAATTCTCTCTGCTCGAGAACTTTCTCCGTTCGAATGGTGCGGAGTATTAAAGCGGAATCATGCAATCCGAAGTCGTGGTCGAATTTCGTATTTATTTCTTATTAAAACTTTTTATATCCTCGCCTTTTTATTTAAATAAATAAATCAATTAGATAAATAAAAGAAAAATATATATCTATATGAATTATAATTATTTAAATATAATGTTAAAAAAGCTGCTTATACACACTAAAAAAAATTATATTAATTGACAACTTTTGAACAAATATCAGACATTCAAATAAATATTGAACGCACGTTACATTATTATCATTGGGGTAGTGAATTTTATATAATCGCGATGTAATTACGCCGATAATTGTAGTCGTTAATTAAATATTTATCGCGTGATTATGCAACTCGTTGAATTAACGCCGTATTCTCTGAAACAAGTTAATCCCTAATTTTATTTATTCAGTAAAACTTGTTTTTTTTTTTTCAATTTACTTTGTTCCAAATCTCTTTCTCGTTAAATTTTGCAAATAAATACGTCAAATTAATTGTTCTTTTTTCGCTGTCTTTTTTTCTCGGTATTTCCCTGAAGAGAATATTTTTGTTTTGTATTTATGAGACTGTTAATAAATACTGAAAAAACCAGACGAAAACAAACACATACGACGAATCTACTACCTATGCACATTTATTCCTTTCGCTGCAACGCTGTTCTGACCGAAATATGAAACGCGTTCCTTGCCGCGCTGGCCTATTACATTCTTATGCTAATATCCTCAATGTATCCGAGAGTATCGAGTATCACCGGCGCTTTAATTAAACGCCGGTGGTTGAATGTCATGGTATATTGCGTAACGCGTTCGCCTTGTAATAAGCGTTAAACTCATTGCGCACCGTTTCGATCACAGTGCTGCTCTAATAAAATTACATTTATATAATTGTGTTTAATTATTATTCGGTTATTATATCATCACAAGTTATAAAATAGTCGCCTAGGTGTCGAGAAGCGGAGCTGTTTATAAATAATTATTGATACATTAATAACTACTGATAATTCACGAACCGTTAAAACTACCATCATGTTACAACGGTTATCAGCAATTATCGGATATCTTTATCGGTAGTTCCTGGGAAGTGCAAACGTATGGATATCCGACGCGCAAGGATCGGATATCGATACTATAAAGCATCGGACGATACTGACGAAGTTGCTTGCAAAATGACCGAAAGATTGCGACGGATACTTTAATGACATCTGGCAGAGTTATTCAGTCCGATTACGTCGTCCTCTCGCTGTTCCTAATCATAGAGACGATCCCTTGCACTCGATTAAGATTCATGCGCCTAGAGACGCAAAAGCAGTCAATTGAAACTGTATTTCAACATATTTTACTATCCCAAGAATAAAAGATTGAAAATTAGAAAAAGAAAAAACTGTCTTTAACAATTAAGCTTCATTGTAAATGGATAATTGATCTGTTTCTTTATTTTATTATAAACCTTAAAAATAAAAGAGAGATGTCTGTCATATCTATTTCTTTCCAATACTTTGGATATCTATTGTGTGAAACAAATTTTTAATTTTTTTCACGATCGTATGGGCATAAAAATAGAATTAAGAGGCCCAGATAATAAATCGAATTAATTTTAAAAATGCTATAATTTCGCGACCTGAAAATTTAAGCGACAAGTATTTGAGAAATCAGGGATTTTCTTCTTAAGTTTAAATAGACGTTCTAATATTAGTATTAGAAGCAATAATGCGTAAATTTTTTTATGTATTATTTCCACGCAATATTTAATGAAGCGTGTTTTTCTAACGATCGTGCATTTTCTCTTGCAGACCGCTCTCAGTATTTTCTTCCAAGAGGCGGCGATACCCTCCTGCGCGCAAGGAGCCGGCACCCACTTCGGCCAAGTAAGTCTTTTGTAGCCAAGTAAATCATTCACTTCTAACGCGACCGACGAGAAAAGCATGTAAAAGGAAGCCACGTAAATCAGTGCACTCTGCTCAATCAATGAGTATTTCTGTATCGACTGTATCGACTGTATTCTCAGTTTCTCGTTTCATACATTAAGATATACTTATAGACAAATTTTGCGCTAAAGCTTGGACTCGTAGTAGAAACGACTTTATGATATGAAATCAAGTAAAATATGATATCGTGTCATGCAAACATAAGCATAATTGACGTCATGTTATAATTTATATGTTTATTTTTTGTAATATATTTTGTATCAATTTAAAGAGAAAAAACATTGCGCGTATATAGTATTATGGCTATATCAATATTAGTATTATATTAATGAGCATAAATGTCAATTTCTTACATACGTAATGAACTGCCATTAAATTTGTACCATACACACTGTTAGAAATGTTCTTAAATTTTATTAAGTTGTATTTTTTTAAGTTACACAATTTGAATTTAATTTCATGACATTACATTAAATTTAATGTATTTATAACTAAAAAGCATATTTGTGCACATGTACATAAAATTTAATGTATTATATTTTTCATGAAAATTTATGAAATTTAATATACTTTTCATAAAATTTTATTAAAAATACATTAAATTTCATAAATCTAATGTACACGTTCATTTTATTTAAGTAACTACTGTAACTTAATTTTCAATTAAATCATTCATTACTTTTAATTTCGTTCATAACCACGAGCTTCATTTACATGTAAAGGAAGTTCGTGGTTACATTTCTAACAGTGTATGTTTCTCGAATTTCCACATATATTAATGATATTGCTATAATTATATATTATTACATTTTTATGATTCACATTAAATCACATTAATAAAAAACATTTATACAATGCAAGAACAATTAAAATTCATTGACATAATATTCTATAACATAAAGTACTACTCATTTGGATCTGAGAGATTCTGCAAATTCTTTGATTTTGTATTATATAATTCGTTATATCGTTAGTGAATGCGTCAACGTGACCGGCATTGAAACTTCTTTACATATATAACACTGTTGACCTTGAAACTACAAATACCTAAGAATACTAAAGATGTGAAATTTTTATCGAGTCTTTGATTCTCTTTTTATTGATATTTTAAATTAATATTGTTAAATTAAATTATAAATTAATTGCAACAACATTTAAAATCCACTCCGAGGCTCTCCAATGTAGATTAACTTAATCTTGCTTTAACTTACTTTTTATTTTTTTCTAAGTATTAAAAAGAGATAAAGAGTAAACTGAAATTGAAGTTTATTTACATTAATAAAAATGGTCATGAACCATTCAAATTTTACGAAATGTTTCAGAGATCAGTTATTTATTCAAAAATTATTCTACATATACATATTACATCATTACATATATTATATATATTACATCAAGAAATGCTCATCTTTGATGAAAAGTTACTCTGTTTGTTTATTCACTCTCCGGTTTTTGGGATTTGATTATAGCGAATAGACTTACAATCCCAGCGATCGCGTTTCCTCTTTGGCCTGCGTAATGTGATATAACAGAGTCGCATTAAAGTGTCGAATCCAGTCAGCGAGTCGCGTAGGCCGATGGCTGATGTGTTCCCGTCTTATTGATTATTCAAAAGTAGGTTCAGCGAGCGCAAGAGATCACCATGCGGGGAACAGTGCGGACCCCGGAATAATACAGCCAGGCGGCCAATTCACGAATCTTCTCGTTCTCATCCTTCGCGTCGCGTTAATGTGCAGACACACAGGCAGGAAAATCGATTCCAGCGCGTGTCTGACCTTCACGAGGTTGACTATCATCCCTTCCGCGACCATTTACACTGCTCTTTGATTAATTGCCCGTTCTTGCGAGCTTCTTTATCCCTTGTAATTTCGTAGTTGTGCAAAATGATCGTACAGCTATGACGAACTCAGTTTGTTCTATTTCTATTTCGCTGGTCTTTTTTTTCCGCAACCGAAAAGACACGGCTTATGATGCCCTTGGTCTAGATAGATAGACTCTGATACGTTGCTTGACTTTTAGACGTATAATCCGATAGATATATTATAATTTATTCGTAACCCGATCAGATTTGCGTCAACTGCCATTTACTCTTTACTTTTCTGCGAGATCCAATATCCTACATACAATGTTAATTCACACAGAATAATACATACTACTGTACGCAAATAATAATTACTTTGTTTCAAATTTTTCAAAAATTCGTATAATCTATCGCAAACATCAAATTTATTTAAAATAAATTCTGAATTCTAGTAAGTTTAATACTTTATTCAAGACTATTAAATTGAAATGAATTCCATTTGCTTATTATTATATAAAGTCGCTTCTTTGAATTCAATTTGAATCACTTTTCCTAATTGAAAGCTGATTTAGAATAATTTCAACTTGTATCATTTTTCTTGTAGAACTGTGATATAATATTTTGTTTTATAGAAATCCAAATATAAATAACTCTTCGTGATTTTTAAGATATAAATAGTTAGACGTGATCAATTAAATTAATTGGAATAAAAGTTTTAGATGATTTAAAAATAAATATCTGACTGGCAGGTCTGAGAGATCCAATTTATAGTTCTAGGGTTGATGCAATAATGCAATAACAATGAGAGTAATGGTGCAATAATGTTCTATCTGGAAATTACTTAAACGATCATAATTGACAGATCAGTAAATTCAGTCGAGTAAGCAGTTGCATTAAGAAAACCGGTTGCGAAGGCCGGTAAATGTCAAGACCAGCTTTTTCAATTAGCTCTGATATCTAATGAGAGCGAAGGTGATGTTCTAAAGACAAAAGACTAAAGAGAACTATTGGCGACTAGCAGTAGTAAGTGTTACTATTCTCGGTCGACGACGGCACATTCCGATCAGTCGTGTGCCAAATCTGGTTCACAGGGCTAGATGTGTACCGTGACTACATTGCTTCACTTTCATTTCACGCATCTGTCCCACAATCGGTCACGTTATCTTCGTTTGATGTAATTTACATGCTGTTTTATCTATCCAAGGACAAAAATATTCTACCTAGTTATGCGCAGTATATGCTGCGCATGTTATTTTAAAGATGTTTTATGACTGTACAGTATCAGCTAAAAGTATTAATCAATCAGCTAAAAAAGCTGATATTAATTAATATCATTCAAAAAATTTTGATATTTTAATTTTCTGATAATATTATTCTGATAATACATAAATAGTGAGATTTAATCATAAAAGTTTACGAGATAATTTATATTTTATTCTGACACAAAATATGAAATATTTTATAGATAATTTAATTAGAATATTTAATTTTAGATAATTTTATTTAAATACTTTTATGCACCGAACAATAAAATGAATTAGCTGACTTAAAAAAAATATATATATTGCGTTTATAAGTAATCCATTACATTTGCTTTAAAATTATTTTTAAAATTAGTTTAAATCTAGTGAACTAAAGTTAAAATTTAAAAAACCTTATAAATATTAGGTGTTGGAATTAATTCGTAGCGTTTTTAATGAAAGAATGTTATTTATTTCACATGAGCATTAAAAAATACATTAATGAAAGTACTTCCCATCACTTGTAAAACGCTACGAATTAATTCCAACACCTAATATATAAACGTTTACGTAAAAATTTTAAATGCGAAAAGTCCGAATGTTTTTTTTAATATGATAAAAAATATCAAATTTATTAAAAAACATTCTTTTCATTTTCTTGTCAAATAATCATTAAATTGTACAAAAAAGTTGTAGTATTTTCTTAGTGAAAAGTAAAATTAAAAGTATTTAGAGATTAAAAAGTATAAGCAAAACGAATAGAGTAGCTCACACTTCTAAATAATTCTTTATAGTATTCTATTGTTTAAATTTAAGTATAATTGAGGTCAATGAAATGTTCAATCACTTAACTGGGATAATCTTATCGAGAACAATTATGTAGTTCATTCATGAAACACATTTGAAAATACAAAAGCAACAAAGTTCACTTTGTGAGAGAATATCGTCAATGGCGGTTATTTAATAGCTGCTTATCGATGGCGAATTATCGCAGCTAGTCGTTGCTATGCTAATACACATGTCTCTGTATTGTTTGGTCACTGTATCTGTGTACATACCTGACCGTCATCACATACAGAAGCCGAAGGTTCAACAACCTTATTAGCTAATGGTCTTTCATGTCTGATTTCTTGTTTAATCTAGCCCTTTCAGTGGAAAATACACATGTCTGCTAGACATCAATTTCTATTTTTTTATCAGTTTTAAGTAAACGTTCTACTATGTTTTTGAGATATTATTGAGAATTATAAAAACTAGAGCGAAACTCTATATAAATTATTATTTTAACAGAAAAAACTGTTTAAAAACTTCCTATTTTTTTAAGAAATTTAAATAATCGGAAATTTTTAAGAAATTTTTATACAAATGATCCTTTCGAAGATTTTATTTCCATTTTGTGAATATAAAAATGCTAATTAAAGACATATTTTTTCACATAAATCTTGTTTGAGATTTTAGATTTTTATGCATTTTATAAATAAAAAAATTTAATTTTTCTTTATTTCCTATAAAATAAAAATTAAAGAAAGAAATATTCGGTGTTATTAAAAGATTAAAGACATTTTATCATCGACGATTTTAAACATTTCTAAAGAGAGACAATCAATACAGCACAGAAGCTTGCAGCTATATTATTACAACTTTTACATTGTTACAATTGTTTGAATGTTGCAAAATTGCTGGAATGATCTGTGCTATATGGACAATTGTTTTTGAATTTTCAGATAACACCATGCAACACGCCAGCCACTCCGCCGAATTTCCCGGATGCGTTGCTGGCGTTTTCCAAAATGTCTGCAGGTGAAAAAACTCCATCGGGTAAGTTATTAATTATAGTAATTATAACCTTATGCTAATAATTAAAAATGCCATATAAACTGTCTTGTAAACCTATTTTACGTGAACTGTAATTGCGTAAAAATTCAGTACAGAATTCATTTTATAATTTATACGTGCATGCATGGTTAGTGAGCGTTATATATATTCCAACATATGTGTGTAATCCAATTTTTCAAATGTTTTTCATTTTATACGCTGCATAAAATTATAGATAAAAATATTATGATATAATTAGTTCAACAAAACTTTACACTGGCTTGTTATCGGTTAAACCAATTACGTAACGTGACATTTTTTGTTTATTTTGATAATACCTCTTCCGAAAATGTCATCGGTAAAATGCGAGGATAAATATATCACTTGTTTGCTACAACAACATTATTAAAAAATTGTTATTTTAGTTGCTTCCAGAAAAAAAAACAGAAACAAAACATTTTAAGATATTTTTATCCTCTATAATCTACTCTATAATCAATTATCACATAAATACATTTCAAAAATAACATTACGAAATTTTAATGAATCAAAACATTGAAACTCTTTCTGGAAAGCTTTGTTTTTTTTTTAATTGTGTCGTTGTTACATAAATAAACGATATGAGCGATATTAATGTTTATGTAATTAAAAAAGCGTCATATCAATTTTCATGCGATCGTAAAGTATTTTACGGTAGTCAAGAGTCGTTTTATTAAACGTGCTGCAGGTATGTCTCCGAGCCAGAATGGATTTCAGGCGAATTCGACACCGATGGCGGGCATTGTGCAGCATCATACTGCCGGTGGCCGGTGTAGTGCATCCGGCAACACAACACAGCAACAGACGCAACCTCAACAAACGCAATTCGGCTTGGGCGAGCCACAAAGATAAAAATGACTGTGCTAATTGGCGATGCGCAAGTACGAAACGTCACGTAGATACGCGCGATAACGTTTCCGGAGAACAAAATATTGCGCTCTAAGCATGAAACGAAAAAGAGAGAGGGAAGTGAAAAATGTGTATACGGAAAAAAGGAAACTCTATGTTTTCTGAGAAAATGCATCCTTCCCGGAAGAGAATGAAGGACATTCTCGAACATCGCAGCGACTATACGGAAGATATCTTCTGCAGATCAGAACTGGAATTATTGAATCGTTACGTTATTCACGCACAATAAGCGAAGCGTGCATTGTGTTACGTGCGAATAAGTCTGAGTGTTAATTTCCCCGACGATGCCCGAATGTGACACGTATTTCGATGACTAGATTTCCTTCTCGGCTTCCTTGAGAGATCTAGCGTAGAACGGTACGTTGAGTCCTCTATATCTGTATATAGCGGCACAAAAAACGCGAGAGAGGGAGAAGGGACGAAAATCATATCAAAAAGCCTTCTTTTTTCTTTGACCCGTCGGGACCATCTCATAGGTCCAAAACGGTCGAGGACATCGACAACTTGGAATGGACGCACTATGAGAACGGCTCCTTCACTCCAATCTGACTTCCTTGTCTCCTTAGACGCTGTAAACACGCGACTGTTTCTCAAATTCACTGTACATCACCGTTAGACTAGGCTGGATTTCCACTATCACTTCCACACCACAGTACAAAAGAGTTGAGAAGTACAGTTTCCTCGATTACTTGAAAACTTTCTCTTTATCACACATTTTCGCGGAAGATATGACGGGAGATTGTACGTATCTTTAATGTAGATGGACCGACATCGTTACTATACGATGACTCGGCAGACATTTATTTAACCGTGGAATTCGAGTGTTTTATTACGATTCTTTCGCTGTTCTCTTAAAATAGTGATGCTTGCGGTACGCGTTATTTGGGTGACGCGTCCCGTTTCCATATACATAAGCGATATTTCGATGGTATAAATATACGAGGCTAAATATAATAAACAAAGTTCTAACGTGTAAAAATTTGTAAAAAGAGTATCTCGAGTTATGTAACGTTTGTTTTACATAATAAATAACTATGTAAAAAGTAAGTAAAATAAAAAAAAAGGAAGAGATCTCGCGAGTGATAAAAGTATAATAGTTCGAAGGATTGATTCAAGAATTAATGTAACCCGGTGAATATGAGCAGTGAGGAATTCTTGATTCGATTATTTCGGCTATTCGCGAATGTACTAGAGATTAATCGCCTGGGTTTACGCAGCACTAGACTTCACGATGTTCACAAAAGAATGCTCTTGTATGGCAGCTGGCAATACGATTCTGATATCATAGTATATCAATATCCGAATATATGGAACTCTGTATCTTTCATTATATTTCTCATAACATACATGGACAATTATTATAGATACATACTTGTTTTCATTAAGGTTCTATTTATTCGATGTAGCAGCAAATTTAGTTCTTCACAGCTTTTTAGAAACTTGTTTCTAGTTTGAGGCTCCCGTTCCTTCGTTGCAACCTTGTTGAATTAGAACATCCGAAGTGAGAAATCATATACATCTTTTTCTTGTGCTATACATTCAAATGAATTAGTTGTTTCGTTTATCGGATATTGTAAATTGATAAAATATATCGAAAATTTCTTATTATTTTGCATTAATGTCTTTTAAATGTAGTATTAATGTTTTTTCAAACGAAAATGGACATTATAACATTTTATTTGAAATGTGCAGAGAGAGAGAGAGAGAGAGAGAGAGAGAGAGAGAGATAATTTTTTAATAACTCTGAAAAGATTCTTTATATATTTTTTATATATTTTATCAATCAATATCAAACATATAGAAAAAACTAATCTCTTTCAATGTACAATGTGAAAAAAATATTCGTATTTCTTGCTACTGATGTTGTAATATGGCTGTAGTGTGGAAATAGGATCTTTAACCTTCAACTAACAGAGAATTCTTTATTCTTTGTCTCTCGATATATCTGACAACAAAATGTCTTTACGGATGCAATACAGTGTATTCGATCTTTTTATTTGTAGTCATAATAGCCTCGATCATAATACAAATTTATAGTCCAAGCTTAATTTGATAATTTAACTTTCATGCAATAGTATCCAGGCGTCGTATAACTTTGTTAACGGATTTATGTAAATAATAGCAGATATTTAGTCGTAAGAAAAAAAGGTACTTTGTGAAGTACGAGATATTTTTCTCAATAAGGTACACGCTTTAATATCTTCCTTAGTTTGTGTACTGTCTAGGCTGTATGATAGTATAAAACTATCGACGAAGAATGAGAAAGAATGTTTTACTATGTTGAAATTATGATTATTGTTTATTTGACTATTACAAAGAGACAGATAATGGTCATGTACATAATTTTGAAAAATTAAATAAAATATTGATAATTATGCTTTTTCTTCTCTTTTACTTAATTGTTAATCTTGCGATCTAGTTGCAATGATATCTTTGTACTTTAGAAGTTTGAGAACAAACAGCCGCTTTTATAATTATAAAACTTTTATGACTATTATACATTTGCTTAATGCATACGATATAGGATATATATACATAATCTCTTACGAACAGCCATTAATTTCCATACGAGAAATATTGATTTATATTGATTTATAACACAGCAATTAATAAGTTACTTAAAAACAACTGGTAACTCGATATCGCTTTCTATCGATATTTTTCGATGTTATCGCGGTATAAAATATATAAATACGACGAAAATACAACAGGCGCGTATTTTTGCCAATGCGCATAAAAAATTTACATCGATTGTGTAATTATCGTGTGTAAAATTGCATTCGTATTTAAAATTTCTGAAAATTATTATGGTCTATTGTGATGGTATCTCAACACTTCTACCTAGACCTGACCATCTATCTGGTACTGGCAGGAAGTAGCGATGCATCGCAGCTATAAATCTGTCGCGGTATTCCTGCGGCGATATTATGGTCGGCAATTTACCTTGACCACCCAATATACCGGATTTTTTCACCATCGTCTCCAGTTTTTTATCCCACGTGAATGTTCTTATATAATCTGTATAAATGCGAAAGATAACAAGTATAAAATCGTTAGTCGACAAAAAGGCGATAATATACGCAGTCATTCTCACCTATTATACCGAGCACGAGTTCGTCGGAGCTTGGTTCCAAACCTACTAATAATGAATAATCCATTACGGAATTGTCAGCTAAGAATTTTGTGTCCTGCTCGATGGCTCGATTTAATACTGCTTTGGAATGCGATCGAATATACAGAGGAGAGTCACAGCTCACTGAAATGCGAATCTTAATTAATTTTACGAATTTATACGAAAAGAACGGTTTTACTAAAATATCTAAAAATTTAACTAGATAGAGATCTGCAGATAATTTTATGAACAAAATTATTTTCAGATCTATATCTAGCTAAATTTTTAATTGAGTAAAATGATTCTTTCTCATATACTCGTATTTGTAAACAAAAGTTGGAAAGAATACATACTGTTCAACAAATTCTCGTCCAACAAAACCAATTCACCTTCGTGGCATGTATTGTCAGGATTCGCCAGCCGATTCCGCACAGATCCTTTCAAATCGAATTTGTCAGTAATGATTCGATTATAAAAGAGATTCTCCATTACTAACACACTAGTACGAAGCGCCGCGTTGGTTGTGTTGTTCTTAAACGACACTCTGTACACACCAACTATTTTGCCCAGCAACGTCGGTTGTTTGGTTTGCTGACACCTTTCCATGTAGGCAAAATAATTGGGTGCGAAATCGAGGAAGATTTGCATATCGAGCCGAGACATTTCCTTTATGATGAATCTATCATCTGCAAAAGAAAATATGTCTAGTGTGCTATAATCAAAATGATTAAAAATTAAAAACCGTCAAAGATTCGTTTATTTTTTTTATTTTATAGCAGATTACAGTGAATATACGTAATTAAACATGTTTAGTTTATCTTCAATATCATTTTGATGTTAAAGATAAACTATTGGATTGGATTAAATTTATCACACTGTCCCTTTTTTTCATCTTAGAATTAATAAATTATATGTTAAATAATCAAAGCATACATAAACAACATACCTCTGCTCTTACAGAAAGCACTGCCGCTCTTTCCGCCTCTGGCTGCCCACTGCACGGTTCGACTTAGACTCCTCGTGAAGCCATCCTCACCACAGGGTAAAACGTTCTCTCTGAGCGCAGCAAACTGCGCGGCAAAGTATATCCTGCAGAAGAAATTGGTTGTGGCATCATTAAATTGTACTTCAATGTAATTCTGCTGCTTGGTCGCTTTCTTGTCGTCGTCAACGTCAGGACCGACTACGGTACCGCCGCTCGTTTCTGCATTTGACATATTCTTGTCAGATTCAATAGGACTGCTGGCTGAGTTGGGACTGTTGCCTCGAAAGAAGGACAGCACAGACGGCCGCTTGAATTCATTTGATTGCGCCAGGTCGAGGGAGCTGTCCTTACCTTCGGGAAACTTGCGTTTGCTCAACGGACTAGGGTTCGATTCTGGTCCCTTCGTTGAACGTAAGAGCTCCTGCAACGTGTGCTTGTAGTCATGTGAGTCCAAAGCATACGCAATTATAGACGAAAGCTCGGATTCATAGACTACTATAGGTACCACGGACCTGTAAAAAAAAAGTGACCTTTTATATGTATACAAAATATGCATAATTATTGTACGTAACTATTTTATTTATATATAATATATATACATATATATATATATATATATATATATATATATATCTGAAACTGTTAAAATTAAATTTTCTTAACGACAATACTCTCACAATCGATTTAATCAAGTAAAAATTAAGCAAAGAGTAAATCTTTTGTAATTAAAAAAAATGTCATCTTTTATTTCATTCACTTAATGATGTAACTTAAACATGTAACTTTTGAAAATATTTTCTGAGAATTTTCTGATTTCCTAGATATTTTCATTTAAATTTCATTTCAAATGCAAAATAATAGCATTTTTAGATATCATTTTTAGAGTTGAAAGGAATTTTCATTTGAGAATTTCTTTTTTCTTCTACTCTGACAATTTTATTATTATATACTATTTCTGTTGTAGTTTAAAATTTTGATTCGAAATTGGAATTTGTCATTACTGCACTATAAATACTACAAGATTTGAGATTACGAATCAACATACCCAAGAGGCAGCAGGTAATGTTCTAAAGACCCCAAAGGATTCGAAATTGTATGATTCACAGAAACAGACGGCAGCAATTGTGACAAAATCGTCTTCTTCTTCTTCTTTTTATCATGCATGTCATCGGAAGACAGTGGTAGAACGTCAGAATGTGATCTCTGATGCATTTTCGGTGAGCCCTGAACAGTGACGATGTCTTCGGGATTATTAGCGGATTCTGGTGGCTCATTGTCAGAATTCTCGATCACTTCGGATGCTTGGAAATCACTTTGTGCCGCTGCGATCGCGTCGACAGCATTGTAATCGGCCGACATAGGGCTCAAGTCTTCGATTTGTGACTCCGATGCGGTGTCTTCAGTTATGTATCCGTCGGTTTCGACTATACTGTTACTGCCGACTGTCATGGATCGTTCGGTGAATCGACGTGGCCGTTCGTCCTTTTTTTTGGCTGATATCTCCGACAATTTGCTATTCCACGTGAACACAGCCTCCGCAATGAGCCGTTTAAGTATTACAATGCCATCCTCGATCCTGAACATCAGCCCTTGCACCTGTTTCTCGGAAGTTTTACCTTCTAACTTTTTATTCTCTAGTGTTGGTGACGTTAGCTTCAATTGAATCTCTTCAATCTTATTCTTAAAGTATTGCTGATCTTTAGCTAGTTGTTGTTTGGCGAGGTTCAAGCCTTCCAGGTCCGTCTGCAAACTCGTCAGCTTTTCTCGTATCGCTGAGAAAACTTCATCGCCTTTCAATGTCACGATCTTCATCTCTTCAATCACATTGGCGTGTTGCTTCGGATCATAGGTGATGTTAATCAATGGCGGTGGCAGCGAGATCTCCCACTGCGAAATCTTGGTAAATTTGAAAACAGCCAGCATATTCCTGCGTGTGAAATACTGGTAGTGATCATGATGTAAGGAATGCTGACACGCGTCCATACCGCGTTTCGTGTAGACACCACCGTAGAAACATAGCTCAAGATATTTAGCAAATGATAAGCACCAAGTATCGCCCGACATTGGTATCACCGGTGACACGCTCTTACACTTGATGCACTTGCTCCACATCAAGATTTGATCAGTGTCTTCCTGCACGAACGGCTCGCAGCTCATCTCGCTGAGGGTGATATGCACGCAACCGCCGTCGTGCGCGAAGCGCCTAACATGTTGAGCAATTTGTGCGCGACAATTCTGTGCCGGACATTTATATTCCGTCGTCAGGCA